CACCTCTCAACTGCTATCCTCTCTGATAACGACACACTTCAGTCTTGCTTATCCTTTGCCACCAATCTTTGCACTTTATGAGGCGTTGGTGGCCTAGTGGTTAGACTACCGGACCCGTAATCGTGAGACTGACGGTTCGGGGGTTCGAGCCTCAGCTCGGTCCGACGTTGTGTCATTGGGAAAGGCACTTCACACGAAATTCCCATTTGGCTGGGGCCTTTCGGAGATGGACGTTAAACTAGGAGGTCCCGCCTCTTAAATAACCTAATAGTGTTGATACGGGGCGTTAAACCTACACCATTTCACCATTTTGCTTGCATTTCATAGGACCACTGTTTGAAACGTTTGAACGTCTCATTTGCTTCCACCCTTAACACCACCCATCAGTGCAATAAGCTCAGTCATCCAATGTCACTACTCCAATGCATGTAACAACGATTCGGGGAACTCTTTTCTCGGCTGGCCTTACGATCAGGGTCAAACTAATTTTCCACCTGTAGCTACCCAGGAAAGTTTCCGTGCTGGAGTGCCACTCGAGCACTTTCACAGGCACTGGACTCATGAGATTTCACACCCACATCACCCTGACCATCTGCACCGTTCAGGGCTCACATGGATGGGATAAAACAGTAATGGTGGTATGGCGTGGTTTGCCCCTTCTTTCCTATCAAAGAAGTATCGTCCCGATTTCTTTCTTTTTTTTTTTTTACTCGCTTATCACATATGTAATCTTCGGCACTTATAATGTACATTGTATAACCTAATTGTGTTGCAAATGCCGTAAAACTCAGTCTCAATATTGAGGTGTTGACTTTATTCTGTTGCAGCGTCTACTTTGCCACTGGCAGTGACAGAAGGGAGGAACAGAGACGGTATCTGCGGAGGAGAAGATACCGTAACTAACCCCTTCACTGCTGAGAAGTTTCCACCTATATTTCAAAGCAGAAATAACCGTTCATTCAAGAAATTTAAACGAAACAATCAAATCGTTTCAATTATTTCAGAATTTCAGGATAAGTAGGCGTAACTGCACAAGCTGCAATTAGGGCCTACATCTTTTACAACTTCCTCAACAGGACAGTAAACAAATGGCAATGACCAGTTGGATTTAAAAAAAACAAAAGTGTGACGCACGTCTATACAACAGTAAAGAGGCTAACAGTTCTCGGGACATTCCACGGAACATCTAACAGCCGCGACATCGGGGAGACTATGACGTGCTGAATATATCAGTCGAAGCCGTGATGACAATTACTCTAGTTTACTGCTGCATACAAGTTAGCGGGGAAGGTGGTCCCCACTCTCCGACCACCCACTCCACTTGTACACATCGAACTGCCCAAATGCTGCTCCTCCAACCATCTCTTATATATACTCCCCCGACCGCCCGCTCAAATTCTACTCCCGCGACCACCCACTACACTTGTACACCTCGAACTGCCCAAATGCTGCTCTTTCAACCACCTACTCCCCCGACTGAATGAAGTCCAGGGTTCGAATCTGGATATCGACAGAAAAAAGCTGCGACAACTGTTTCTTTCTCTTCCTATTTCTCAGCCCACAAGGATTCTTTCTGAATGAAATAAAAACTGTTGGAAAAAACATCTGTCTTTTTCATACCGGTAATGTAAAGTTTGAATGTCTGTGTTGTTTCGAAATTATATATTTTGGAGAACGTTCTTTTTTTTTTCTCTAGAAATATTAGCCTAAATACGCACTCTAATGTTTGAAATGAAATGCGTTCGAGTGAAGTTAATACATGTAGCAGCTTTGTATCTCTCCTGTTTGTTTTGTTTTTGTATTTTACGTCGCTCGCAACCACGTTAGGTCATTTGAGCCGCTAGACATATTAAAACGTTTAGTTTTGGTACAAATAAATTTTGAATCTTGCCCAGGTGGCGGCCGAATCCTACTCTTGTCTATTTTTGGACCTCCGAGGGTTCTTTATCGTGCGCAACTTACACACAGAACCTCCGAGATATGTCGCCCTTAGCTGAAAAGGAAAGGTGTTAGATCTTACCTACCCTAAGATCAGGGGAGAGGCCGAAAGACAGTACAAGTAGTAAAAAGGAGCCAAGAAGTAGCAGAGGAAAGGTTGCAGAAAAAGTACGGAATCCAGAGGAGGAAAAGGAGGTGAGGGGATGGGGGAAGAAAATGGAAACGAAAACAGACGACAGAACATGATTAGAGAGCAGGAATCATCTCTCCTGAACAATTCTTCAAGACAGACTCAATCTTAGGAGAAATACACCCGTGATAAAGTTTGTTCAAGGCCTATGCCCTGATGCAGGGTGAGAAAGGCAATGATGATGATAAGGAACATGACACTTTTCCTTTGCGAACATGATTCTCTGGTTTATTCCGCCATATGAGGAAAATAAAAAGCAAAAGATGACTTATACTTATAAAAAGATGCCAATTATACCGTACATAGTAGGAATGATGGATTCAAGTCAAAACTTCATTCTCAAGTTAGAACAATAGAAAATAATTTCATATCCCTTGAAAAGGAGAAATCATACAAAAAAATATACTGACACAACTGCCATAAGGAGTTTTATTATAAATACACACACACACAGGCAATCAATTCAACTAACCAAACAAAACCCAGCGGCACATCTAGAAAAACTTCCACAGAGATACCGTTAGCACAGCTTCACACTCCAGTACAGATAGTAGATAGATACAATGATAACAAAATTTTTTAAAAACACAGAGAAAGAAACAATCCCATCTTCCAGCCTTTTCTTGTTTGTTTAGAGTCAAAAAATTTCCAACTAAATTATTTTCGGAAGTCTTTCCTTGGTTAATTGGGTTTACACAAGGCATCAGTTTATGGAAGGGAGGGCTGAAGAAAAAAAATGTTTTGACACGTAAAGAGCAACTACTAGTAGGCCTACTAGGAGCTAGCTGCTACGCTACTTTTTGTCTGTGGTAGAAATAGTCTGAAGAACAAAAAGATATCCCTGTAGGCACATTTTAAAAAATCTTCACCTCTCTTTGAATGACCCTGCTTTACTGGGAGAGAGATAAAAAAGATTAAACGTTACATGCTATACGCTAATACAGTGTCAGTTTTAGTCTCACTTTCAAGAGCTTAGGTATTTCAACCAGTTTCATCAATTTTTCTCCTGCCTTGATCCACAAGATATTTGGAATCACTTCATCCAGTCCGCAACTTGGGACATGCTTGCCCATGTCTGACCTGAGGGTGTGTGACGAGTTGACAACCACGTGATGCTAACATCTAGCATCGGGTAGTAAAAAGCTGTTACATTTATATGATAGTACAGTCGCTTCTAAGATGGGATAAATCCTTGACATGAGCAGTCCGTCGACAGATCACTGAGAACCAGCAGAACATTCCAAAACAACAAAAAGTAATAATAGATCTACAGCACTTCCAAACTCATTAACTTCTACACACACAAGTTTCAGTAATGTAGTCCATGGTAGCCTACAATGCTTACAACATTTACTATCACAAAACAGTTTGAACTATCAACAGTTTCCTTGAGAGAGTGAATGTTTAACAACACTAAGTTAGTAAGTACTGATAAAAAAGGAAACCACCATCCTAAATGATTGCAAATTTTTTACGCTCCCATCGACACAAGTTTCGTCATGTAAGAGGCTGCTGCTCATCGATGTCAACCCATGCTGAATGGGTGACAGAATCTCAGCAGAAACATGGAATATGGGGAAGTCGAGAACATGATTTTCTTCCCATGGGACTCCAACTCTATTCTTCCCATGGGACTCAAACTCTATTCTTCCCGAGGGACTCAAACTCTATTCTTCCCATGGGACTCAAACTCTATTCTTCCCATGGGACTCAAACTCTATTCTTCCCATGGGACTCAAACTCTATTCTTCCCATGGGACTCAAACTCTATTCTTCCCGAGGGACTCAAACTCTAGTCACCAGTGTTGAAGGCGAAGAGCCTAAGCATTACTTACCCAGCAGACACCAGAATATGTTCGGAATCAGTCCCTTACATTGACTGCACATTAAAACTAACTTACAAACACAGAGTACGTGACTATGTTGAAGGAATAAGCCTACTTGAGAACAGAAACATTTTTCAGCTTGCATGATTGTGGCTAAAAATGAGAAGTCAAATGTCACAGTGTTGTTCCAAAGAAAATGGAATTCTAACTTATTCTAAGCTCAAAAGCAAAAACCTTGTCTGTGTGAAGAGAAATTTTTAAACCTATAGCTAAACAAAGAGCAACTGAACAGGGATGTAAATTATAGATTCTAAAAAAAATATCTGAAAGCCTAATTTGACTTGGAACGTCACACTTTTACATTGTGTTGATTTCCTGTCTTCTCTCTCTACATGAACTGTTATTGTTGGTTATTTTTCTTAACAACCGAGAGGGGATAAAAATTTGAAATCAGAGAAAATCTTAATTAGTAAAGTCCTCAAATCAAATCTTACATGTTACACAGTAAGATCAATCAAAATTACAATCCACATCAAAGTGCTGAAGCTGGTAGGTCTAAATATTGAGAAAAAACAATCGACAGAAGTGCCCTGTTTCAGAACAGAAATTTTGCTAAAAAGCAGATGCACCAATAAATTTCAGTGCACCTCACAGTGTCCTCATACACAGACAGAAACACTCTCCCCACTCTGTCCTCATACACAGACAGAAACATTCACCTCATTGTATCGTCTTACATAATTTGTCCCGCACACACACACACACACAACACAAGAGCTTGTTCTGTCTTCTTCTCTCAATGTTTTTCTCTCCTTGTTCTCAGGTGCGGCGTTGAAGCATTGTTTCACATGGCCCTTTCGTTAACACCCTTAGCACGACACAGTTCTAACTCCACTGTTTGTGAGAACGGAAATTCACACTACACATTACAGACACAGATGCCCTGCCACTGTGTCAAAGGCAAGAGACAATCTGGCCAGCATTTTTTTTTCAATTTCAAAGTCAAGTAAGGGGTAAAAACATTTGAGCTCTGAGTGTGAAACTTCGAATTCATCAAATTCTACAAACTATAAGTCATGGAACTAGAACCCTGTCATTCTAAGGGTGTCAAATGTATAAAAGCAGTTGCTTGTGGTTAATTCATGGAATTGTTTTATTGTATAACAAGAGCCACAAAGAAGTGTAGGGAAAAAAATTATATTTAATATACAGACTTGGAGACTGCAGTATGTTCCAGGGATAGTCTTTGAGAACTGCGGCAACAAGAAAACAAACATACACATGATGTAAAATTTGAAACCAATTAAACAACCCCAGGAGAACACATGTCTCACAAACAGCAGGACTCACAAACAGCAGGACTCACAAACAGGAACAGGATCAATTACCCACTCAACTCGCTGTAAGCTCACACATCTGATTTTGTAACTAGTGAATGTTTTCAACACACTGAAAAAGACAAAAAGACGGAATTTTTTGTGTGCAAATGTTTGTATAATTTCCCCAAAACACAAAATACATAGGAAACATAAACATTCAATTCATCGTTCTGTTGAGTTCAGTTAGGATATATATATATATATATCTATCTGTTCAAAATACTCTGATGCATTCAGGAAACAAAATGTGTGAGTGCGGGAAATTTCCCTTGCAATGAGGTGAATGGATTCTAGACATTAAAAACAACACAGCATTCGGTCGGTCAGGAGTCTCAAACTCCCAGTCCGTGGGCCAACTGAGACACACAAGCACACAGGAGACTCTGCGACCCGTACTTGACCTCACAGTCTAGTGTTGGTGCAGCCTGCATGTATTCCTCACTAAGATCTTTTTGCCTGGAAGCTTACGTTTATGGTCTAAAAAGCCATTCATGTTCCTGACTGTTACTAAAAAAAATTGAGTTGATCTAGATAGATTATTGTACGATACTTTAAAAAATATTTGAAACTTTTTTGTGAAGTATTTGATCTGACTTCCACCAGACCACGGGTGGTTTGAGTTTGAGATCCCTGCTGTATGCACAGTGGAGTATGCTTAAACCTTTGACAATTAATCTGAAAACAGCGGTAAACCAAAGGGAAATAAAAGCCCTGGTTTGTTTTTCTTCTATTCAGGTAACCTCTCTAATAAGCAAACTCCCCAGCACACAAAAAATCAGAAGATACAGCAAATTTTCAGTTTAACAAGTTTAAGTGGACACCAGTATACTTGAAGTAACTGTTCCATAGCTTCGATTACAGCAAAACATGAAGACGCCAAATACATAATGAAGACAACAAACAGGTGAAGACAACAAACACTACTCATCAAGGATAACCCACAGCAGTCTGGAGAATAATACTCTGGTATCTGGAGGAAAAGCTACAACAACAGTGACACAAACATTTGATCTCAGCGGACAAACACAGTGCAAAAAGCAACAATCGTCATCATCAACTTCTCAAAGGCATTCACCTCAACTCAATACAATTGTTGTTTGGTACTGTGAGGAAAAGGAAATACATAATATTCCATCGTCAGAAACTGGAACCAATAAAAAACAAAAATCAAACTTCCATCCATCACCTGCATCCCTACAGACAAAGATCATGAGAAAAAACTCCCATCATGGTCACAATATAATGTCGTCAACGGTAAAAGTTTTCATTGCATTGCACCTGTCAGCAGATACACGGGATAGTTCGATTCCTGATTAAATGTACATAATTACAACAGAGCTCTCTTCATTAGAAAATTTAAACGTTTCCAGAGAACGACTTGATCAATGTTCTTTGTACATACATTTTTAAAAAGTTGTCAATTCCTTGCGGAGCATAAACTCCCCACCAGTAAACAACCAAAGTGCAAATGAGTTCTCAAAGACTCAAAATCAAAGGACAAACTGCATTTCATACACAATGGGAATTCCTCGCAAATGTTCAACAATGTCAATACAAAAGATTAAATTAACATCACAACTGAGTAGCTAAGAACAAAAGAAAAAAAACCCCACATGAATTCTAGAAACTCTCACTCACATCAACTCAGTAATAGAAAACTGAGATAAAAATAAAATGACACAAATAAAAAAATAAAATTATACAAATTATGGCGCTAGGGCCAATGGCCAGCTAGGTGTTGCATCAGAAATGTTGAAATAACGGTCAATTTCCCACTGGACTCAACAGTTTCTCCGAGTACCACAGAACAAAGGTGTCCAACAGCAACAGCCCCACAACGGGAGGGGAATCAGCAGCAATGGAAACATGGTCTCCCCAGCCCAGGGGACAACCTTGGAATGCATAGAGAGGTGACCAAATCAAAAAAGTTGAAAAAGGCATACACAGCAGTTCAGTATAAGAAAACATTTGGATGGAATGGATAATATTATAAGGCAAATGGAAATAAAAACTTGGATTTTCAGTACAGGGTTCACATGACGCAACTTGCCATTGACGAAAGGGAAATATCTGTGAGTGAGAGACGGGAGTGGTGTGAGTTCGGTAAGTGGATTCCTCCGCCAGACGTCATTCTTGAGAACTATCTACAACAGGCTCGACTATAAACCATTGCACCTCATCAAGACAATTACACATCTCCTCCTTTGCTCTTCTGTCCCTCACACATGTATTGTTATACAGTCCAGCACGCACACAGTCCACATGCAAATAGTCAGCACGCATATAGCCAACATGCTTGCAGTCAACATGTACATCGCCAACACGCTTGTAGTCAACATGTACATCGTCAACACGAACACATGGTGTACAAATTTTCACGTCCCAAATTTTTTTCTTATTTTCCTTATATTTAAACCATATACATAGCAAAATTTGTAAATAACAAAAAGCTCTCTGAGTCCCGTTGATGTTGCTATGTGTGTGCAGGACTGTATAATCTTTATATATAATCTATTTCTCCATGCACATATCAGAACCATTCCAGTGTGTCTCAACCGTAACATAAAGTGACCATACCAATAAATGGCGCATTGATGAAATTATAATCACAACAATTGTGCCAATACTGTAAGTCCTGAAAAAAAAGTATATGGATATCACGCCCCTATCAACACTCTTAGGTTATTCAAGAGGCAGGTAATTTCTGATGAAATTCATCCGGAATGTACAGAGCGAGTACCAGCAATAAAACACTCTTGTGGCCTGTTCCCGGTTCAACTCAAGTAATCCCGTACATTTATTTTGTTCGTTCTCATTGCAGGAAAAGGAGAAAAGCCTTGACTTTGACTAGAATCTCCCTCCGACATCGATGTAGTAACATGGCCTCATATAAGGCTCATTCAGATTGCCAATTTGTACAATCCTACTATTACTTTCTCTTGTTTTGTGGCTCTCTCTTGTAATTCTCTGAGTAGGAAAAAGAAAGTCTTGGCATTACATCGGCAGTAACTGTTAGCATTAACATTAGAATTCAACCAAATTTTTTTTGCAATTTGTACATCTTTCCTGCAACCCAACTCTTGACAGAGAAAAATACAAAACATTTTCCCCCCAACATCTCACACGTTGCTACAGAGAACATGACACAGCAATCTTGGAACTATGAAAGAAGGAATGATTTGATTACAGAAATATAAACGTGTCTTCTATTTTAGTGCATAAATAGAGTTGAAGAAGCAAAAAGATACAGTTGAGCACCGGTACCTCAAACACATCCACGGCTGACACAACGTGCTCCAACACATCCGTAGTTAAAAATAAACAGTGACAATAAAAGCTAAGAGAGATTTTTCGAGGAGAATCAGGTGAAGTAACTGTGACCGTATAATGGTTGGAAGATAGATCACTGGCATCATGGAGAGTACAAGGTATTGAGAAAACAATAGCAAGATGGATTGTGTGTACTCATTGTTCATTATCGAAGCAAGAGAAAGGACAGAAGGATGGATAGTGTGTACTCCTTATGTGGTGTCGAGGCAAGAGAAAGGGAGAGAGTGTTGCTGATAATTCTGATGACTGTTTAGAACATGCCACCCGCCCCTCTTGTGTCATTACTGCCCGATTGATACCTTCATGTTCCAACAACCAAAGGCACACAAACAAACATAATCCGCACACCATACAGCCTAAACGCAGAGCTACAATCACACCTTACCACCCAGCACCCACCCTCACACGACAAGGTTCACGGATATGCTACAGCACAACACGGCGACCATGCCTGTACCAGCACGTGTGACTACACACCACAGCCACCGTGCTAGCACCAGCAGTCGTAACTACACACCACTACAGCTACCGTGCCAGTATCAGCAGCGTGTGTGTGTCAGGCTGTGAAAGGCTGAGCTTTGTGACCTCGTAAAACGTGAAACTCTCCATGATGATGGATGCCGCTGTTTTCCCGTCTTGCGCAAAGGATGATTAGAACACGAGACAATAGTGAGGACAATTTTCATCGAGCCTTTCGAGACGAGCTATATTACACATCCAAGTGTCTGTTGCAGAAAATACAGAGAAAATATAACGGTTCAGCCCATGAATGGCTTATTGTTCGAGATATCCATGAATGGGAGTTGCGCGTGTTGGAGATATCGGTGCTCAACTGTACAATTCTCAGCAGCAATCCACACAACAACGGTGCATAAAGACATATTACATATATACAAATTCAATATAATGTATATATATATAATTATATATAAATATATATAAAAACCAGCAGTGTGACATTCTAAATTAGCACTGAGTGTAAGAATTACATCTCATATCAGAGTAAAAAATACTAAAAGCAAACACCTGCATGTAGAACAAAAATTCCCAAGCTCAAAAACATTGGATAACCAGTTCTGCCACCACAAACGGGACGACAGCCACAAATTGGCTTTCTGTAAACTCTATTGGTTCTGCTGATCTCTATTGGTTTTGTTGCGCTCTATTGGTTCTGTCACGCTCTATTGGTTCTGCTTGCGATAAACTCTGAAAAAACATCATCATGTCACATCTTCCCTTCCTTCTTTAAGATGCTTAAACGTTTCGACAGTTTTTCTTCATTTCTTGTCCACACTTGGTCCCTAGTTTGTATGAGAGAACAAAAGCAGCACATTTCTTACTCTTCCAGTACAAGTCAGCTGACTGGGAGCTTTACATCCAAACAGGAAGAAAAAAAACAATGTATTTGAGGAAAATGGAAACTTTCTTTTTACAATACAATTCCCTCTCTAATCTAAAGATTTAAGTGACAAAGATACCGGGGAAAAAAGCATGTGTGAGACAAACCAGTTCCAAAAACATCCCCATTGAAATTTAAAATTTAAAAAGCACAGAATTTGTGACAAATACCGTCTACTTGGGACAATGGAAGTTTTAACCAGTACGCCGGTGTATCTACGCAGCCAGTGACAACGCTGGTAATTCAGTAATCGAAAACAAATGGAAAAAAATTAATGTTCAACTACTGCCATTAGAAGAGCCACAAGTTTTTTTTAAAAAAAGGACAGATCTGGCAGCACTTTCAAACAGGCTCAAAACTTTTGACCTACAGCTCAAGCAACAACTGCATTGAACCAGAGCCTCACATTTCCCTCACAAAATATGAGTGCAGGATACCCATTTTCCTTTGACAATCACTAGTAAACTAAGCTGTCTGTATATATGCACATGTTCTGACACACTTCTCACATCCTTGATGTATGTGTGTTCTGATGTTACTTCTCACATGGCCACACTAGCTAGCAGCTTTATGATTCTGCAGATCTGGGACCCTGTGACAGCACCATCATCTGTATAACTGAAACACGTCAATGGAAAAATGTTCAAGTTTATTTTCAAACATATTATTGCTTGCTTCGATATCACATTTACAAAATAGAGGATACTTGAAGGAGAACAAAAAGAATTTTGTTCAAAGCCTTGAGAACCATTTGGCCAGCGAATGTTTTCCTGGTTCACAAGTCACAACACAAGGACATAGTGGACACCTCTAGAAAACAATCATCCCACATGTGTGGGCCCCAAGCTCAGTCTTTAGAGACTTCAGTGTCACATAGTGTCACCAGTTGCAGCAAGGATCTTGTTATCTAAAGGTGAACAAAACAAAGCTTATAGAACAAACTCTGAGCCTTAAAAATAAACAGAGCATGTAGCTGCACAAAGGAGCAACTTTAAAAGTTTACTTATGGGGGAAAAATATCTAACTGTATTTATTATTATTATATAATATAACTTTTCCGCTTTCAGGTCCACGAGAGGCAATCCTAGAAAACAGAATACATATTGTCCGATATGAAAACCCTCTTCCATACTCAGACCCCCACAGAGATATTTAATACATTTTTTACGCACTGGTTGGCAGCGTTTCAGTTCTGGCTATTCCCTAGGTTCCACAGAACACAACTGTCTTTACTTCCAACCTACAGTTCCAGATACTCCCTACGTTCCACAGAACACAACAGTCTTTGCTTTCAGCCCACAGTTCCTGCTACGCCTTACGTTACACAGACTCCCAGCCCACAGATCAAGCTACGCCTTACGTTACACAGAATCCCAGCCAACAGATCAGGCTACACCTTACGTTACACAGACTCTCAGCCCATGGCTCTGGCTCCTCCCCTCCCTCCATCACACAGACTGGTGCTGTGCATGCTTGAGCTTGTGTGGAGCCATCTGTGAGGGTCCCAACACAGCGTGGTTGCAGCCCGGGAACGTGCAGTGGTAGTGCGTCTGCTTCAGGGCGTAGGAGCACCCTGTGACCTGGCAGTCGGCCGAGCCGGCGTACTTGATGAAGCCGTTGCTGCTGATGTTGTCCAGCTTGGTGTGGTACTTTCTATGGGCCGGTACTTTGCTGGAGTCGGCGCACGAGTACGGACACTTGAGGCAGTGGAAGTGAGAGGCCTTCTCGTCAAACTCGCAGTCAGCGCGCTCACAGCTGACAGAGGCTCGGAACTGCTGGAACTCCCCGCCCATGAGGGCGTCTAGGCGCTCGTGTCGGATGCGGTGCTGCATGATGCGCGACTTGTCACTGAATCCGTAACCGCAGTCGGCGCGCAGGCAGTGGAAGTGTGTTACAGTCTGCCTGTAAGCACATCGCACGTAGCCACAGTCCTCACCGCACCGAACACGCCTGTAGCCCTCAGGCAGGTCCGAGTCGCCCTTGGACGTGTTGTACGACCTTCTTTGCTTAGGAGCTTTCGGAATGACAAGAGAGTCAGAGTTGACAAAATCAGAGTTTTTGGTTGCTGTGCGTTTGCGGCTTGACTTTCGGGATAAAGATGAACACAAAGTGAGACTGGAGGAAGAATTGTTGAGGGAGGATTCGTTGCTCTCTTCAAAACTGTCATCAATCATGAGGGACGGGGAATCTAGATCATCTGCCTTGTTGTCACTGGTTGTGTTCAGACCTGAAGAATGCACCTCCTGAACCTCCTCATCTTCGTCATCGTCTACATCGTCCACGCCGCTCCTGGCTCTCTCTGACATGGACAGGGACCAGGCTTCCTTCCCCACCCTCCCCGCCACAGCAATGTCATGGGGGTCGGTGGAAGACACCAACTTTGTGTCCGCCTCACTCCTCTTGGCAGCCACCATGCTGGTGAACACGGCCGGCCTCAGGTTGAGGGAGGAAGACAGCTCGTCCTCACCCCCCGACTCATCCCGTGACACATTCTCGTCTCTGTCCAGACTGCTGGTGACGGGTTGTGACGACGCCATCGACAGATCCACCGGGACCAGCCCAGGGCTAGCCTCTGACCCACCACCACCCACGCCATCTTTCTCCAGCTTCATGCTCGCGTCAGACTTTTTAAACTTGAACCCGTGTTTCCCGATGTGAGCTCTCAGCCTGGCTGGGTCGGAGAAGGCCTGGTTGCAGTCCAGGCAGTGGTAGTGCTCCTTCTTCTTCAGCTTACAGAACGGCCGGCCACAGGTCAGCTCCACCGAGAAGTGCATGCGTTTCTTCAGGCTGGCCCAGCTGAGGGGGCCTGAGCCACCGCCCTGCTCCTGCTGCTGCTGTTGCTGCTGTTGTTGTTGTTGTTGTTGTTGTAGGAGGATGGTGACGGGGGCGGACGTGGCAGCTGAGGATGTGGTGATGGCAGCCATGTTGCTGGAGGTGCTGGCTGCCGTGGCGATGCTGGTTGCCATGGAGGCGGGGATGACCTGTACCAGGTTACTGCCCAGGAGGCCGCCCTGGTGCAAGAAGTGGCCCTGGGAGGTGGCGATGATCTGGCCGCCTGCCAGGTTGACAAACTGCTGCGTCTGGAGAGTTCCGGGCTGGGCCAGCTGCCCGACGGGGATGATGCCGGTCAGGATGCTGGGTTGTTGGCCCTGGGTGGTCTGTGCCAGGACGGGGATGGACGTGGGGACCATGTTGGGGGGGAGGGTGAGGACAGGTGTCCCCGCCTGCGTCTGCAACACCTGCGCGGCCGACACCAGCGGGACATTCCCCACGGGAGACAGGACTTGAGTCGTCCCCCCTGAGTTCAGCAGCTGTGACGAGGTGACCGAGCCCGAACTGATCTTGGTCAGCTGGACACCGGGCAGGCCGGAGATGGGGAAGAACGTACCAGAGGATTTGACCACGTTCTTGTTGCCACCAGTGGCGTTGTCGGCCACATTCACAGTCGTCGACCCCCCCTTGCTCAGAACTTTTTTCCCTGCCGAGGAAATCCCTTCCAGCTGGGTGCTGACCTGAGACACAGAGGTTGAGGTAGCGGCCACAGCGAGGGGTGACAGCGCCAGCGACGGGGAAGACCGGGACACAGCCGGGGCGATGGGGATAAACTGTTGGAGGGCAGACTTGGTGTCTCGGGAGGTGAGGGAGACAGAGGTGTGAGACGGGGGCGTGGCCAGAACCTCTGCGGTCACCGTCGGGTGCTTCTTGTTGTGCTGCGACATGGTGCTGGGTCGCACAAATGAGTAGTCGCAGCGCGGCCGCATGCAGTGGAAGTGTTTGTTGATCTGGTTGTTGTGGCAGTGGGGCCGCCGGCAGTTGACGAGCCGCTCGAAGAACTCGAACCCCTCCAGGATGGTGATGTTGTTGTGGAAATCCTTGGCGTGCAGGTTGAGCACATCTTGTCTGTCCGTGGATGTGTGGCAGAACTTGCGCCCGCAGTGGTAGTGGATCTTCCCCTGGTATGTGCACTGATCGTCCGGACACGCTTCACCCGCCGAAAATTTCTTAAACCCGTTGACAATCTTGCTGTTCTCGTCGCACTTCTTGTGCAGAAAATCCAGGGTGGAGTCGAGGATCTCTTTCTCCGTCAGGTGGACTTTCGGCACCGATGGCAAGTCATAGCGCGGGTACTTCGGTGGACGACCCCGACGTTTTTGTAAGGGGTCAAGCTCAACTTTTGCCGCCTGCGACTGGGAGCTGCTCCGGGCTTTTCCTGCCGAGACGGAGGTGTACTCGTGGATCCTGTAGTGCTCCAGACGAGCAAATGTTGGCCCGGCCTGCGGGATCACATGACTGCAGTTGGTCTGTTGGGGGCAGAAGAACAAACACAGTGAGGCTATATGAAAACTGCTAAATTTATCAAGAACTGAGAAGTAAAAAGATCAACAAAAATACAAATAGAACAAAGACAAATATTAATTTTCAAACAGCTAGCAGCTGACTAGCCCTGAGGATTTAACAGGGAACGCAGAGAAGAAGGAAAACACTACCTTATATCCTGTGTTGTGTCATGAAAGTGGACAAATCTGATACTAATAACTACAAAAATTTCCAAGCCCTTAATCCCACTGCGTCATGACACATTTGCATATTTTGTCAAGCGTTTAAGATAAGTTTTCCGAAGACTTCAGGCACTCAAACAGCAAAATTTTTTGTGATGAAAAAAATAAATGACACTATGATGAATCGACAGGAAAAAACACCAGCTCATCACAATATAAAGAAATCCATTCATCAAATCCTGTCTAATGCTATTAGAAATATAACAAACAATGAACTCAAAAGCATTTTTCAGAACAGTTTAAAATGCACTTTTCCATCAGTTACATGGTTATCGATTTCTTGAATCACGTAAGTGTTTCATTTAAATATGTCTCAATGATAGTACACACCCAGTCACAATGATAGTACATACCCAGTTACAATGATAGTGAGCCTCCTTCCCGCGCAGGGAACAGGTCGGGTGTGGACACTGGTCAGATTCCTCAAATTTGCTGAACACCAGCGGGGTCACGTTGTCCTGAAGCTCATGGAACCTGACAGACAAAGTTTGGTAGATTTAGTCAAGAGTTTTACAGTACTTGCAACAAAAATAGGTCATGTAAGTGCTGAAGATTACATGTGTTACTAAAGAGTAATATGCAAATATAAGAGGGAGAAGGGATGAAGACAATAGATATTTGATAGGAAAGACAGAGCAAACCACACCAAAGCACCTGCCAACCATCCACTAAGATGATGATGATGATGCTGATGATGATAATGAAGATGACAAAAACAACGATAGCGCAGATGAGAATACAAGTGTAGTCACCTGGCGTGGCCTCGGACTCCGTCCTTGGACTTGAAGATGACCTGGCAACCCTTGATGCGGCAGTGGTAGTGGTCCTTGTACAGACAGGCGCAGCGCGAGAAACACGCGTCATTGGCTGTGTACCTGAGGGCAGAGTGTCAGAGGTGTCATAAATACAGTGACGCCATAAATACATCGGTGTGTACCTGAGGGCAGTGTCAGTGACGTCATAAATACACCCGTGTGTACCTGAGAGTAGTGTGTCAGTGACATCATAAATACACCTGTGTGTACCTGAGAGCAGTGTGTCAGTGACGTCATAAATACACTAGTGTTGCTGACAGGACAGTTGAACCAGTCTGTAATGGCCATTGCAGACCACAGAGTAGAGCGACCGTTATAGACAGATGGCCGCTATGGGCTATGGACCGCGTCTGAGTTATGGTCACGCACTAGACTTGACAAAGTCAACAGATGGTTGAAAATCTAAAATTTTCAAATCACCCTTCCATTTATTATCATCAAAACTGTTATCTATCATAAGAACTTCTCTGCAGTGATGGAACATACACACTCTCCACTGTACATTCATAAGGGTCTTAGGCATCACTTGGGATGTGGGGAATGTTACTTTGGGCTAACCACAACCTATGTTTGATACAGAAGTGATATGTTAGACTCGAAACTCGACAGGAGTTTATTATAGTTGCAGCACTTAATCAGTTGCTTGCACGGTATGCTTCCCGGGAAGCCAAAAATGTTTAAAAGGGGTTCTAGGGTCTGCTGGTGTAATAATAGTTTGAAAAGCAAAGAACATGATGTAGAGCATGGATATGTGCTATATAGTGCAACTATTACCATCACTTTATGTGCGGAAAAACAAGGCAAAGAAATCCCCCCCGACACACACACACAAACACCTCCATGAACCCTATCTGATGAGATATTCCTTTCAGGGATCCCCTCCTCCCCACATCCCCCCAATCGATAGCCTCTCTCCCTCCCTCTCTTCCCCACCCTCCCTTTCCTCCCCAACCTACCTGATGAGGTATTTCTTCCACGACTCATCCCTCTCTCTCTTCTCCGGCACCAACTTGACGGGCAACTGGACCCCAAGTACTTTCCCCTTGGTGTTGAGCAAGGCCCGCGGCCCACCAAGCTGTCCGCCCTCCAGCGCCTGCTTGTAGCGGACACCGACCGACGGCACCTCACCCAGCCCCACGCCGTTGTTCAACACGCTCCTGGCAACCTTCTGCTCACTGACCAGGATGGAAGGTTTCTCGTCAGGTCCCTTGACAGATGTGGCGGTGGTGGTGATGTTGAGGGGAGGGGCAGTGTTGTTGTTGGTGGTGGTGAGTTCTTGCTTGAGGCGGAGGTCACAACCCCCCTGCTCCTGTCCAGGGATGGGCAGGTTGAGAGAGTCGTTGAGGACCTCCCCCTCCAGCGTGCTTGTCTTGTTCACCAATGTCGGCTCTTCCTCCTGCCCATAGTCTTTATCATCATCGTCTTCATCATCATCATCATCCTCATCATCATCCTCCTCCTCTTCCTCTCCTCCACGCATGATTATATCCTGACTTCCTGCGTAGGAGGAGTTTGATAGTTCTGCGTGACCTTTCACCTCGTCCCCCGCTACTGGCTCCTGCTTGACCGTCACATCATCGTCCTCCAATACATCAGCTTTCCGTTTGTTTCCCGGCAGGGAGAGATCCTCGGGCTCGTTCTTTACCTCGCTCGCCCTCAGCTCCTCTGGAAGGGCAGAGAACGACTTCCCGGCCCCACTCTGCCTCTGCTGCATCATCTCGCGCGGAACCGACGCTGGCAGCCGCGACATGTTCGGGTCATCCACCACCCTAACTGGCAAGGCCATTGTCTTTCTGTCCTCATCCTCACTGTCTGACCTACCAGGCACACCATTTCCTCCTTCCCCTCCCATGCTCATGCCCTGACTGCTCAGATTTAGAGCCTCCCCTATGGCCACCGCACCGCCTCCCGCCAGATTCAGAGCTAACTTGTGCATGCCTGCCACTCTGCTCGCGTCTCTCCCTCTCAACAAGGCCAGTCCTTGAGCAGAAATTCCTTTGTCCGACAGCGTAGAGAACATTCCCTGCGTGCCAGAGCCAGACAGGGGGAAACCCTACAGCAGACAACAGAAAAACACAAGAAAATTACTTTTATAAACTTACACATAAAGTAAATGGTGCAAAATATCAGCGAAATCAAAGGTTTTTTCTCCTTACAAATTCAAATGTTTTATGGCAGAGATTCATTCTCCTTGAACTGAAAATGATAATTTAAGAAAAAGTATGAGCGCAAGAGCTACTCAATGGGCTTACAGGATATCAGTTCCCACCAGTCTCACTGGACAACAATGTCAATATCACAAAAGAAATACGTGGAGGTTCTTATAATACCATCCAGAGAAATCTAAGGCAGGGAGAAACAGCAACCGAACGTTCAAGGACAAAGGCTTATTGTCTGGTTACATACTACAACACAAACTACCTAGACTGGATCCACCCTCTGAGCAAATGTAGAAACTCATGTCTATCCTCCCCACCCCCACCCCTCACCATGTTAAACAACTCACATAATATAGACAGAACGGGAACATGTCGCCGCAAGTCAGAATCTTTGTATGTGTGTATCGTTGCCTAATCTACCTGCCCCTAGTTTTAATACTTAAGGAGAACTGAGCCTCAATTCAAATACAGCGCCATTGACATGAGGTGAGAGAACAAAACTTCATGCCTCCCATTATGAACCCCACCACTGCCAGATCTGCTTTCTCCTCTGTCTACAGGTCTTAAACCAGTCTCTGGCCAGCAAGTGATAAGCTCAAAATCTCTCTCTCTCTCCCTCTCTCTCTCGATGTTTTACAAAACAGAGCATATTATTGTCCGTAGTACTGACCTGTACAGAGTTGACTGCTGACCCACCCAGCACGGGCACACCTGGCACCCGCTGACCGCCCGCCTCAGCCGCACCAGCCTTGATTGGGCTCGGAGTCATGGCCAGAGCGCTCGGCGTGTTTGCCGTAGTGACCTTGACCCCTGAGGTATCGACCTTGACTTGCTGCGAGGGAGTTCCGTGCTGCTGGAGCTGGCGGAAGTTGCGGTAAGCGTTCTCGAACTCTCGTCTCTCGTGCTTCCGTTTGTGGGAGTAGAGCTGGGCGGTGGAGTGAAGGACGTACTGGCAACCTGGCACACAGAGAGAGAAAGAGAGAAGTTGTTAACGTAAACATATAGACAACCTGGCAGAGGGAGGGAGGGAGGGAGAGAGAGAGAGAGAGAGAGAGAGAGAGAGAGAGAGAGAGAGAGAGAGAGAGAGAGAGAGAGAGAGAGAGAGAGAGAGAGAGAGAGAGAGAGAGAGAGAGAGAGAGAGAGAAGTCCTTCATGTATACATACAGACAGAGAGAAACTGGGCGGTGGAGTGATGACTAAAGCAGCAGGCATGACAGTTTCACCTGGGCCATAGACATTGAGGAAGTAGAATTACCAAACATTACTTTAAGAACTTCATTTCCTTGACACGCCCCAAAAGACAAACATAGTCAATATTATGTTTGCAATCAAAGAAGGAGCAATATCTCCCCCATGACAACAGAGACATCACAGCCTGTGGCCATTGGTCTGTGGTACTCACCTGGCCGGATACAGTGGATGTGGTTACTCTGCTTGGAGTAGCGGCAGCCAGAGTACGGGCAGCTCTCGTACTTCATGAACTTCTTGAACCCGTCTCGGCTCAGGACCTCGTCCTTTTGATGGTAGCTCTTGTGTTTTTCTGTGGAGGTCAAGGGTTTTTTAAAAAGTTTTAGTAAAAGTTTTACAGCACTTGCAATACAAATAGGTCATATAAGTGCCGAAGGAGTTACCAGAGAGTAATATACATAGGGAAGAAAGGGGAATGATTAGCACTTTGGATGTCTGATAGGAAAGAATGAGCAAACCACACCAGAGCATCTGCAAACCACCTATCACCTACAGAGACGAGAAGAGAGAAAATAGGGGAAAACAATACATCTGGAGCTCTACATGGCACACAGAGTTCATTTTCTTATATTCAACTCTTCTTTGTGAAAGAGTCAAGTTTTTTTTTCTAGATATCCTCCTCCCGGAGAAATCCAAGCCAAGACTTCAGATGAAGTAAGTGAATCAACTACTGAGTCAGTTTTGATTGTGAGTTTGCCAGTTCAGATAAACGAAATAAAGGCTTGCAACAATTTTTTAAACCGCAGTTTCTTTATTTGACATATTTGTTGCATGTGCTAAAGAAATATGTCAAAATTTTCATTCTAAATGTTGGAGAAAAAAAAAACAAGAAACACATATATTAAGTAGATACAATTGTTAAAAGGATGACACAATTTTTTTCCCTCTGCTGAAAACTTTTGCTTTCTGGGCTTATGACATTTGTTTTAGTAAGAGTTTTACGGTACTTGCAACACAATTAGGTCATATATGGGCCGAAGATTAAAGGTATTACAAGAGAGTAACAAATACAAAAAAAGGAGAAGAGTTGTAAACAGCTTGCCCACGACACAAGACGGAATAGCTTCCTCTTACCCATATCCGCTTTGTTCTTGAACGTGAAGTTACACTGAGGCCTGCGACAGTGGAAGTGGGTCGTACGCTGTCCGTAGAACGCACAGGAAGTGGTCCCACAGTCTTCTGTGGCTCGGAATCTCTATCAAGTACACAACAAAGTGTCATTTGTGGGGACAGAAAAAAAACAAAGAATTGGACATAAAAGTTCCAAATTTTTACAAATTAATTGAATAATTAAATATTTACAAACAGATCAAATTTTTTTATTCAATTACCTTGTTTCATCTTAGTGTCTAAATATCATTGTACCCACTCACTCACATTCTCCAAGTCAACAATTGTCCAATAAGATCACTAACATGGCACTCAAAAAAGGAACACGCGACAAAAAAAGGAGTAAGGAATATGAGGAATCAATTCATCAAAGGATCAACTGTGTGACACTGTAACAGTAACTGACAAACTTTTGGTTGCCTTGAGAAAAACATCACACAAGCAGCTCTGACCACCACCCACATGATTGCTACGGTCTAAGGCCATCAATCTCAGATCTCATCGATATCCAAGTGAAAAAATCAAACAGACCTCTCTGACACAAACTCTTCAGCCCTCCACCCTCACTCATTCACTCTCTCAGTCCCATTTTCACTTGATACCCACTTCAGGACTGAGGCAAACTCTTATAAAAGCTATACATTTGTATTTGTTTGTTCGTTTGTTTGAGTAAAGAGAAGCACACAGACACAATAATCCTCATTTCAAGTAGGGAACAAACAAGAGAGACAGACAGAAACAACAGAGGGAAAGAAAAGAAATTCGACCAATACGCAGGTCCCCCCATAACAAAACAAATAAGTTTGTTTCTTTGCTACATCCTCAAGGCCATATCACAATCGCCTTGGTCATTTTTTGTTTTGGTTACTAGTGGTGGTATGGCAAAAATGATGACTACTAGTTTCATGCCCTTAATATAACAAATATTGAAATATTTTCACTTTTACTCAAACTCAAGTTATACCATTGACTTAACTGAGTATACAAAACAATTATTGGGGGTAGTTTTCTCAGAACAGCCAAAATGACCAAGACAAGTGTTTTACGACCATGGCGATAGGTAAATCATCAGAACCTGAAATCCCTCCTGGATGATGGCTGTGTCCTTGCGGTGGAAGTTGGCGTGCATCTGGACGTCGGAGGTGCTGATGTAGACCTTGTTGCAGCCCCTCTGTCACAAACAACAGTCAACAAAAAAATTTCAGTCAGATTGTGTTTTTTACTTAAGTTTTAGTCAGAGTTTTATGGCACTTGCAATACAAATACAGCCATAAACTGATAAAACGCCTTTTTTTTCCCCCATTTTGGGGTCAACATTTTTTATTTGCTCAATTGAAAGCCTGATCGGTTATATTACTAGTGTGAAAAAAAATCAAAGTGAAACTGTTACTAGTTTCTGAATAAATTCAAATTCAAATTACAAAAGAATGCTATTTTTCATGGTTACGCCGACTAAAAAAACCCCTCTTTTTCTCGAAACTGCTGTAAACAAAAAAAGGCGTTTTATCAGCTTACGGCAGAATAGGTCATAGAGGTGCTGAAAATTAAAAGAAATATTTGACAAGAAAGCAGGAACAAACCAAAGCAGAGCATCCACCGACCACCCACTGAGACACAGCAAAGTGAGCCAAAATAAAAACCTTGGTCAAAGTACATTTCTGAGGAACAAAAGTCTTCCGGTCATCTGGTTCCATTTTATGAAAAACATGCTATGTTTCAACTTGTATACAGGAAATATCTTTTTCTATTGCTGCTCTCACACTAGAGAATTCTTTATTTAATTTACCAACACATCAAACAGTAAAGACGTGTAAAAGAAATCTTAAAACGGAATTTTTCAAAACAAACCTCCAATGACTTAAAATGCTGTATTTGACTGCAAGGTTTTTAAACAATAACTGAGACGACTTTATTAATAAAATGTTTATATTACTCCACTTCCTCTCCCCAGCCTACAAAGGTATAGTTTACCCCTGCGTGTTTACCCACTTCCTTTCCCCAGCCTACAAAGGTATAGTTTACCCCTGTGTGTTTACCCACGTCCTTTCCCCAGCCTACAAAGGTATAGTTTACCCCTGTGTGTGTACCTACCTGCACACAGTGGTAGTGGGTCTGCCTCCCGTTGTGCGTGCACGAGCCGTACTTCTTACTGCAGTCATCCATCGGGCTGAAAACAGCAAATGTTCAACAAGTTTTTCCCAGTTTTAAGAAGAATTTTAAAGCACTGGCTAAACAATTAGTTTAAGTCATAAAAGTGCCTGGCCCAGGATTAGAGGTTGTAACTAGAGAGCGCCAAACAAAAAAAAAGAAGGAGGAGTGATAAGAGAGACGGATGTTTGCAGAAGGAAGGATCAGAGCAAACCAAACCAGAGCACCCACAAACCACACACATAGATCATTGGTGAAAACTGTGTAGTTGGTGAAAGAGACACAGAACTTATAGCCCGTGGGAGCGCAGCAACCTTATTATGACAGCGTTTTGTTATTGCCACAACTCAGAATGTCATATCTGCTCTGTTGACTGTAAATCACACAGTGTCAAGTGTATGGATTTAACACCCCTATCAACACTAATAGGTTTTATAAAAAGGCGCGACCTTAAAATTTAACGTCCACCTCCAATAGGACCATGCCAAATGGAATGAGAGCTCTGATGTCACCATAAAACGACAGGAGTTCAAGAACACCCAATCTGGGATTCAAACCCGAGCCATCTGCTCTATAGTCCAGCACAATACAAACATGAGCTAATGGAGGGTCCCACACAGGGTTGCTTTACTTGACATATTAGGATGCAGTGGCCAACTCCCCACAGGTCAGACTTGGCTGACACGGCAGATGCATCCAACCTCCTAAGTGACATAAGTCGTAGGGATGGGGTGTAAAACATTTCCCATCATCGAGCCACCTCGTAAGTGACCTATACCATGTGGATGGGGTGTAAAACATTTCCCATCAAGCTACCTCGTAAGTGACCTATGTTGTAGGGATTGTGCGTGTAACATTTCCCATCAAGCTACCTCGTAAGTGACCTATGTTGTAGGGATGGTGCGTGTAACATTTCCCATCATGCTACCTCGTAAGTGACCTATGTTGTAGGGATGGTGCGTGTAACATTTCCCATCAAGCTACCTCGTAAGTGACCTATGTTGTAGGGATGGTGCGTTAAACATTTCCCATTGAGCTACCTCGTAAGTGACCTATGTTGTAGGGATGGTGCGTAATACATTTCCCTTTGAGCTACCTCGTAAGTGACCTATGTAGTAGGGATGAGGCGTAAAATCATTTCCCATTGAGCCACCTCCTTAGAGACCTATACCTTGTAGATGGGCCACAAAACACTTCCCATCAGCCCAGCCTACCTGTAGCGCATGAAGCCGTGCTGCAGCGAGTCGTGCCGCTTCTTGTGCCACTTGAAGTGTCGAACCATCTCCTCTTTCCTGATGAACACCTGGAACGACATGGGAGGTGGATATTTTATTCGGTACTCAAGGTCATTGGCCCACATCACATAAAGAATACACATTTTACAGAAGAAACTTCTGTCAAAACAGCATTATTATGTTTAGTTTCAAAGTAAGGTTAAAGCACATGCACTGCAAATAGGTAATATGCATGTTGAAAATTAGAGCTCTCTCTCTCTCTCTCTCTCTTCTGGCGCTGTGGCTTCATAAACGGTCAGCGATGCCGACAGCACGCAGGAACTCAACACTCGCCCGGGGGTCCTTAAAAAGTGCTGAAAGTGGGTTACTGAAATGTCCCAGCAGACGGGTTCTAGCACGATAGCTAGCGGGACACCTCAGGAACACATGGTCCATAGTTTCGTCCTCCTCCTTGCAGGCTCGACAGGACGGATCTGGGTTGTCTGCTGGCGCAATTTTGTGGAGATATGATCTCAGCTTGGGCGATTTTCCACCAGTTCTCATTTGGGAGAGAAGCCGGCGGTCCTGTCGTCTGAGCGAGGCCTCAAGCTGGAATGACGGCGGCTGGGCAAACGGCAGTTTGGGTTTCGCCTCTCTTTTCCACTTTGCGCGGGTCGATCGGTGGAAGACGGCTTTAGCTGTCGAGAAATCGATTGGCGTGTCAATCTGGGTAAGCGCTGTTGCTTCTTTGGCGATGCTGTCAACTTCCTCGTTCCCAGCCAGTCTGGCGTGGCCTGGAATCCACTGTAAGTGGATGGAACATTCAGAGCGTTGACAGAGGGTGTGCAGATGTTGCCAGATTGAGCAGGCCACCTTTTCCGATTGGTTGGTAGGGCCGTATGAGAGGCGCATGACTGCTGATCTAGAATCAGTGTATACATGGATGCGTGCACTGTTCGGAAGGCTGCCTGCTGTATGTAGTGCCACAAGCATGTCAAGCGCTGTGTCGAGAGCTACAAGCTCGGCCCTGTAGCTGGAACAATACCGGCCCGCAGGTACACGTTGGTCGAGTTCGGTATCGCCGGTCTTGATCAGTATTCCACTTCCTCCATACTCAGTACCGTGCTCAGCTGAACCGTCAGTCCAGACTTCTACATCAGGCAGGGGGAGCGAACGAATTGTAGCCTCTGCTGCTGCTTTCCTGACAGCTGGTTCATTATCACGCTTGCAGTCGACGACAAGATCGGTGCTAAAAGTCACGTTGCATGATGCAGCCTTCCACGGTTGTGTGGGGGGTAAAACAACCAGCTCCTCACGTGGGTACGTATCCAGTTCAGTTTCGGCTACGAGGTTCTGGGCATGCTTTCTCCAGTTCGACTTGCCTGTCCGCGTGGGCACTGATTTTGTTGCGGAGGCTTTGCGTTGGTTCGTTGCAGGCAGACGCATGGACTTCTCGAATGAGATGGCAGTCAAGGCATCAGCTCTATGCCTTAGGGGTAAAATGTCTGCTTCGATGAGGAGGCTGTCCACACGAGTATCCTTTGAGCAGCCTGTGATGATTCTTGCTGCTTCATTCTGCTTTCTTTCCAGTTTCTGCAGATTGGAGGGTTTGGCAAGAGGCATGTAGGCAGGGGCACAATAGTCGATAGCTGACCGACAAGTAGCATAATATATAGGCTTTATGCATTCCCTGGAGGCACCCCAGGTGGTGCCTGTAAGGGCTTTGAATGGTCGAAGTCTGCTTGACAGTTTTAACTCAAGGTTTTGGATGTGGGCGTTGGAGGATAGAGTATGATCAAGTGTAACCCCAAGTAAGGTGGGGTTGGAGTTGAAGGTGATGGGGGAGCCTTTGAGTGAGAGTGCTGGTTTTCGCTTGGCCTCGTGAGTGCTGGCGGTGAAGAGGGTGCACTCTGTTTTCTCCGTACTGATCTCCATCTTGTTTTGCTTTGCCCACTGCTCAAGTAAGTTTATGGCTGCTTGGACACTGTTTTCAGCCTGATTTATGTCTTCGTTGGTGGAGTATATTGTATAGTCATCAGCATAGAGTCCCGTCTTCACGGCTTCAGGCAGGCCTGCTTCAATATCATCGATGAAGACAAGGAACAGTGTGGGGGACAGGACACTGCCCTGGGGGACTCCCTGCTCGAAACGGCGAAGCCTGCTTGTTGCGTTGCCGTGCTCGACGCAGGCGTATCTGTCTCTGAGGAACGAACCTATCCATTGGGTGATGTGGCTGGGAGTAGATTTCTCAATCATCTTCTCCATTAACCTTGTGCGCCATACCTTGTCGAAGGCACGCGAGAAGTCCACAGGGCCAGCACAGTTCGTATCATTTTGGGACGAGCCTGGAATCCATCGGAGATATGTTGTGTTAGGCACAGGACTTGGTCTTCAGTAGACCGTAACTTGCGGAAGCCCGATTGGTTGTTGCTCAGCAAGTTGTTACTCTCCAGAAAGAACATCAGGCGGTTCTTGAGCTGCAACTAGAAAGTAACATACAGAGTAAGGGAGGAGGAGGAGAGATAAGGACGATAGAAGTTTGATGGGAAAGAAGGAGCAAACCAGATTAGAAGGCCCACTTTCCAAAACAGAGAATGATACAAAAAGAGAATCTTTCAGGGACTGTCTTTCAGAGCAATCTCGCACCCACCCTCCATCATCCTCCCCCACCCCCTTCGAATGTTAACAAGAAATCCCCGAGCAAGAGCCTACCTTGTAGGGGCAGTCCAGACAGTGGTAGTGGTCCCGGTAGCCCAGGTCATGGCACAGTTTCCCGCCGCAGTCGATGCCGTTGCCGTAGCTGTGGGTGGTGTTGTTGTAGCAGGTGAGACATACAGAGAAATATGGGGACATTGACGGAACAACGGTGACTTTTGTAGAGAGAGGTGGCGGGAAAATGGTGGCTTTCATTGTGGGAGGGGAAACATACAGGGGAACAAGAGGACATTGATGGGACAAAGGTGACACTTGTAGTGGAAAGTCAGACAGTCTGGAGCAAACAGACAGTTTAATTATTCACACCATTTGCAATACAAATAGGTCATAGAAATGCCAAAGATTAGAGGTGTTACTACAGAAAAACATACAAAGAAAAGCTTAGATTATATAATTTTGTGAGGCTGTGGGGATTTCCTCCGGGTAGTGACAGATGCTATCTAATGCCCTGCTTGTAAATACATGTAGGGTAGGTGGGCGGTACTCAAAGTGTAGCCTCTTAAAGGTGGCAAAAGAGGGCGTTGGCTATCCGAAGTGATAATATTCTTGCTTTGGCTTAGCAATCCACAGACAAATTGTTAGGAGCCTTAAGCTTGGTTTTCAATTTCTGATAGTATAGAAATTCAACAAATATTATTAAATTATTATCATCATTATCATAAGTATTGCCTTTACAATCACCATTATCATTGTCAACCCCGTGCACCCTCCAGCTCAGTTCTCCCCACCTCAACAAAAAAATCAATTCATAGGTGACAGATATTTTTATGTGTAAGAAAGTAAACAAAAACAATGAAACAATCCTCTTCTATGTAATAAACAGGGGCTCTCGTGGTCTAGAGGTTACTGCGTTTGCCTCTCATTCAATAGGTCCAGGGTTCTGACAGCAATAGAAAGTTTTCTTCTCTAAAAATTGTCTTCTTACACCTCCTTTCCTGCTCTCTAACCATGTTCTGTTGTTTGCCCCGCTTTCATCTCCAGTTTCTGCCCGCACCCTCTCACCTCCTTTGCCCACTCCTCTGAGCTCCTGAATCTTTTTTCTGCAACCTTTCTACTGCTACCCCTTGAATCTTTCTTACTGTTGTCTTTCAGCCACACCCCTGACCTTAGGGTAAGTAAGGTCTACTTGTCTTCTCAGATAAGGGCAGAAAATCTTGAGGTCACGTGTGCAAGTTGTGCACATTAAAGATCCCTTGATGGTATAAAATCGATAAGAGTAGGCTTCAGCTGCCACCTGGGCAAAATTAAACATTAATTCCTGCCGAAATTGAAAATGTTTAATGTGTCCCGCATGCTCATATGACCTTATGCAGTTGCGAGTGCCATAAAACACCTACTAAAACAAACAAAACGTATTTTACTTTTAGAACAAGAACAACAGGAAACAACTAGTTGATCAGCTAGCCTCCCCCCTCCCACACATACACTGTACTTATGTACTTACTTGTGAAAAGGGCAACAGATTCAGAGTTACGGAGCAGCCAAGCATTAAACAGTCACTGTTCCCCTGAGCTCAGCAAACAATGACCCATCCAATAGAAAACATCAATCTTCCCAAAACATTATCAAAGAATATGAAATGAATTTTTTAAAACCTACCAGAGATATCATGTTTAACAAAATGCTAATATTTGCAAAGAATATTCAGGGAAGGGCTCTAAAACATAAAATTACAGGAGACAAAAATACTAGAACTGATGACATTCAAACAATTTTGCAACACAATATCACTTGTAACAGGTGTGCATAGAGAAAAACCTTCCAAACACATGATAGCTATAATGAAAACTTTACGTTTAAATCAATAACCCCCACATAAAGAAAGCACAGTTATTTGCCCAAGAAGGCTCTATAAAACATGACACCATGCAACCTGACTTATCATCTTCATCTACAGTCCACACTACACAGTTTTTGTCAAGGTTGCTGTTCTTGAAACAACCTACACAACAGACTACTGACTTTCCTCCGAGCAACCCACAAAGTCAACCTGTATTTCTCACTCTGCTGCCAGCACTACTTTTAAATATTCTACATACACACAATAAAAAAAACCCAGAAAAATATCTACCAGTTCTATCAATTTTTTTCTTGTTTTTTGTTTTCAAGTTACTTTTTTTTCCCATTTTTTCACGGGAGTGGGAGTGTACAACAAATAAACTCATCTAAGTCTTTTCAGAAATAGAAACCTTGGTCAAACAGTAGGAAAGAAAGAAAAAAAAGGGAGAAGAAAAGCTAAAGTATTGAGAAAAATGTTTAAAGTATCGTTTTAGGGTGTTAAATAAGAGTTTTATGGCACTTGCAACACAATTGGGTCATATAAGAGCTAAAAATTAGGAGTGTAACAAAAGAAAAACATACAAAGACAAGAAGGTGAAGAGATAGGGACGATAAACGTTTGATGGGAAAGAAGGAGCAAACCACATCAGAGCACCCACCACCCACCCACAGCCAAGAGAAACTCACCGTTTGATATACTTGCTGTAATCTGCTGAGGTCAGCGTTTTCTGACTGCCTGACTTTTTGTTAGACGAGGGTTTGCCTGCAGCACCGCTGGCGACAGCATCTTTGGCCGGGGGCGGGGTAGATGCGACCTTGTTTGGGACTGCCGGACCCGTCACAGATGGGCTGAAGCCATTCAAGCTGTTGTTGTTGTTGCTGTTGGTGGTGGTGTTTTTGTTGCTTTCTTCAGCTGTAAGATAAAACGAAGAGAAATAAATATAAAAGTCTTTCACAGGCAATGTAGAGATCACAAGACTTTGCTACCAAAAATGTTTCAACATAAAAAAACAACAACAAAGACATAACTATCTTAATTATTAAGTTATAATCAGCATTGCCCTTTTGTAACAATGAAAAAAAAACACCCCAGTCTGTGATCATCTAAATTCTAAATTGTTAAGTAATATTCACCATTGCCCTTCTGTAACAACCCCCCCCCCTTAAAAAACAACAACAAACCAAGTGACAATCTCAATGAGAAAGCAGAAATCAGCTTTGCCTTTCTGTAACAACCTCTACAATTCACCAAAAAAGTGCCAAAGTGTCATTTGGAGCAGCAGACACAAAAACCATGATGTCACAGCCGCCCTTTGGCCGTCACAGCCAAGACACATTCATGGGGCACACTTGACGAATCTGACGGGCTTCATACCAACGTCCAGGAAGATTGGAGCATGTCTCTGATGACAAAAGCAATCCTGTTTCCAGCCCACAACTGGTTTACAAGTTACGTATGCTC